ATGTATTAAATAACTTCCAAAATCTCTTTGGTAACTGAAATTTTGAAGTTTTGCTAGGATAATTTAAATGATAAAAAGTCACTGAGCATCTAGATCATTTCCAAATAAGATAAAATATTAGACACTAATTATTAAATATAGGTTTATCTACTTTTGGCCTCTTATTACAGAGAAAATCAAAGTTGCTTGAGTCTATTAGTAAACACATCTTGTATTTTATTAAAAGATTTTACTTAGTTTTTATTTAGAACTTAAGGTTTATAAGGGTTAAAAATTCTAATACATGATTAAAACTAGTAAAAATTAAGGAAAATACATTTGTATTTAAGGAGAGTAAGATATATGTTTTCAGTAAAGAAGGTAAAAAGAATGGAAATATTTTTGTTTGGTTAAAAAGGATAAATTTGTCCTAAAGTACTAGGAAGAAAAGAGGTGGCATGGGACAAATTCTGAATGTAATAAAAAGTTATAGAAGGTTTGAGGAAGAGGAACCTTGAGGAAAATACGCATGGTCAAGTTGGCTAAGAGTTAAAATGAATTTAATTAAGTAAATGAGTTTTAATATCAAAAGTAAACTGGTCCAAAATTAGAATTTTTCTTTTCCCCCTCTTAAAAGGATAATTTTCTTAAACTTTTAGTCTGCTCTTGGTAAAGAGATTATGAAAGGTTTTTTCTTTGAGTAATCTACCAGAAAGGTAGGGATTTTATGTTTTATCATAATAAATTTCTTATATTGTTTTTATCAGGTCTTTAATCGCAGGTGCTAAAGTTTCTCTTACAGCTATTTAATTTTCTTCATTTACCTGAGAATCTTTAATTGTCACCATGGTTAAATGGATAACTGAGCATTGTTTCATAGAGATCTATGATATTATGTTGGTAAATGTATTGATATAATAAGTGTTTTAAAAACTATATACCATTCCTAGAATTTTGATCTGTCCTGGTTCTCAGTCATAATTCTAGTTATCTTAAAGTGTTGTATGTCACAGAAATAACCAAATTTCTTTGTCAATTGTCATTTTTAAGTCTTTTGTCATTTACAGACAGTTATTGTTTTACTCTGATGCTTTTAAAAATGTTTTCATCCATAGAGAGAGATTCATGAAAGGACTCTGACACTTATTCTAAAATATAGATTTCTGAAAATCTTTAAGATTATAAAACTGAACTGGGTAAGAAATTACAGAACTCTAATGGAGAAACTGAAGAATTCATGAAACTGCTAACAAAAGATTAAGACCAAAAATCGATTACATGAGAATGATGAGGATGATTATGATTTTTGTGACTTTTACTTGAAATATTGCTGATGTTTGTTTTTTCAGATTAAAACAACACATTTTTTTCCTCTTAAGATAAGTATAACTATATATAGCAATTTGGTAACATACTTTTGTAAGCAAAATTGAAACATTTATCTTTTTCTCCCTACCTGATCACTCTTAGTGAGAGTGAATGCTTTAATGAATGCTCATTAGTGAATGAATGCTTTTATTTTCATGTCAATTTAGTTATTAGCATAAGTTCAATAAGAATCTGTTCTCCTTATAACAGGGCACAATTGGAAACATTGGTTATATTACCAAAGCTTTGACTGGAATGTCATATTTGAGAGAAACATGTATAGGCTCAGATATGACCAGACATCTTTTGAGAAACAAAGATTGGACTTTATGAAATAAAGTCACTTGGAAATATTGGCCTGGTACCTTGTTTACAGGGTTCCCAGCAAACTTACCTGGTGAGTAAAGAAGGTCACTTATCTGACAGGTACAAGGAACATCAATATTTTGGGGATCCTCAAAAGAAGAGAAGAATTCATCCAAATATGTAGGTATTATAGGCTTTGTCTGATAAATCTTTGGCTTTCTTGAACTTGATAAGACTTTAAAGTTCAGTGTGGGAGTCCTTATAAAAAGTTCCAGCAAAGCAGATTTAAAAGAGCCTATATGATCACTTGCTATTATTGCTGTACTTATGTAAATAATTGGGCCAAATCTATTGAACCTAGACATTTTTCAAACCAATTAATCTTAATTTGGCTATCTTTGGTAAAAATGAGGGTGATTTTAGAGAGAAAAATTATGTTTCAGTAACAAATATAGTACACATTTCTGGTTAATAGATTCTAGCTTTGTTAATAGTCTTTGAGATTTTTGTTTTCTGCCTGTAAACTGTACTGAACCCTGAATTCTTCTAGTCTCCTGAAATATCTGACTACAAATCTCCAAACTAATGTTTTCAGTTTTTTCCATCATTTTTATTTGAAACTTTTGAGAACTGAAACCACCTTTGTTCCTGAAGTCCTGCAAACTGAAGCTGGACAACTTGTTATAAACTTAAGAGACATCAACACAATAGCATACCTGTTGCTATGTAAGCCACTCAGAAGGATACCTGAACACCCAATGACATCATCAGAGGCATTTCAAGCTGCAGAAGATGCTTGGACCCTGATGTCTACAAATCTTCTTGACTAGCTGCCCCCAGACTCAGAAACTGGTATATAATTTGCTCCACGCATTAACTTTGGTTTTCTTTTTGTTTCCATAGAAGTGCTTCTTATTAAATACCTGATTGCTTGCTTACACAATATAGGCCTAACTTTGGGAACCCACCTGCATCACTGCCTCCTGAAATGAATTTAACTGGATTGATCTATTATCAGGACTAAGAAAAGTGATCAGTGAAATAGAACAATCTACCAACTAGGCTTCTGGACTATGAAACTTCTTAAAGTTTCAAAGGACTGTGAAAATTCTAAAAGTTTCAAAGGTGGGACTGTGGGGGATCAGGATTGGCCACTCCAAAATGTGTCTCTTTGCCTTGCCTTGGTTATTTTTAAGAACAAAAGATTCTGAAAGAAACTTTGACCTTCCCCCCATAACTGCCTACAAGAAATTTAAGATAAAAGCCTGTCCCCAGGACGTGCCATCACCATAGATAACTCTGGGTATAGGTAGGCTGTGAGGGTCCTTGCTAAGCCCATTCTTATCAAAGTTCTGTTTTCCAAACATTTGCTTTTCCATCTCCATGTGAATTACCTTTCTCCCCTTTGAACCCCAAACCTCTACCCACAACATCATCCTTTGTCTTTAGCTAAAGATACTATTTAAGGTGACAACTTTGGCCATTCTAGCAAGTTACTACACTTTCCTGGGTTTCTTCCATGTTTACATGCTATAAAGCTTTGTTTGATTTTCTCCTGTCATTCTGTCTCATGTCAATTTAATTCATAGACCAGCCAGAAGGAGCTAGAATAGGTAGAGGAAATGTTCTTCCTTCCCTACACAGTATTGGAACTGGGTTTTCTGGAAAACATAGAATTAAACTGGTCCTTGAACTCAATTCACAACCAAGACTTGTTAAACATGTATTATGAGTGCTATACCAGGCTGGAGGTGGTGGAGGATACAAAAATGAACAGGACATGGACTCTACCTGGCAAGAACTTTAAAACTAGAATAGGAGACAGACATTTACCTAATAATACAAGGCCCAAATAGTTAAGTGTGGAAAGTAAAATATAAGAGAAGGATCACTGGAGAGCCAGTGAGGGAGAAATGAAAACTAATAGGGGCAGCGATGGGGAGTATCAGAGCAGGTTTTCACAGAGCTGATATTAAACCAATTATGGGGTAAAATGCCTTTAAGGGAAGTGAGAAAGTGCTGCCTAATGAAACCTTAGGAGAATCATTAGGATTTTGCAGTTCCTTATTGACTAAGAGAGAAGGGGTAGAGCAGAGAAATGAAGGAGAAAGAAGTGAAAAATAAGTGACAAGGGAATCAATCAGGGAATAGTGGAAAGCAATTTGGATGAGGAAATGTGTATAAGTTGATTTTTCAGATCCAAGGAAGTAAAAAAGCAATGTGACAGATCAGAGTTCAGGGGGAGAGATCCAGAATTTACCTTTGAAAAGGAGAAAACCCTAGTGGGCATGGATGTCAGGGCAATTAGTCTGCAGTATATTGTCTCAAGCAATTGTAATCATCATGCAGATGCTCATTTCCGCAGTGCTCTACAATTCTTAACTGACTCAACCTCCCACACCTCCTCACCTTCTTGAACCCTCCAACTGAGTCACAGGGAGCAACACATAGTCATAGAGAGATTGTTCTATCCAACCAATTACCAGGTGTCTAATAGCCATTCCAAACGACATGGCCAAAGCAGAAGTCTTGATCCACAGCACCCTCCCAGCACCTCCAGGGGCATTCTGTTATCAAGCCTTAGCATCTAAATAAATGGTCCTCTCAGATATTCACTTGATTATCCAAAAATTAGGCTTCATCTTCTATGCCTTTCTGTCTCTCACTCCTGTATTAATAGGTTAGCTAGCTCAGGATCCATATTATATTCTGAAACTGGCCATTTCTCACCACTTCCACTGCTACAACCATTGTCCACTCACTTCGCTTCTCTCATCTACATCATTGTGATAGCTATGTGTCCCTGGCCCTTTGCTTGACCCCTAGGTCCATCCTCCATCTAGCAGTCAGAGAGATCTATGAAAGAGTCTGTCAGAATATCTTACTCACCTGTGGAAAATCCCCCATCTAGCATGGAATCCAAACTCCTCACCATGTCTCCAAGCTCAGGGAGCCCCACTCATCATTCACATTGAAACGTCCATGTCAACTCCTAGGAGTCCCTGGCCCAATGCCCCTGCTAAGGCAGCTCTTCAGTCACTGTCTACTACAGTACCTTATTTTATCTTATTTATAGCACATATTGGTGCCTGGCATATCTCAAATGTTTGCTTTTTCAAAAAATTATATATCTACCCCGATAGAATGTACGCATCTTTAGAGCAAGGACTTTCAAGTTCATCATGTGCTCCTACAGTCTATAATAAGACCTGGCAAATAGAAGGTGCTCAAAAAATATTTTTGACTGGCTGACAGTGATCTTGGAACTAAGACCCTTGGTTATACCTTTAGATTATTCCATAAGCAATTTCCCATCAAAACCTGATTACAATTATCCCAAGGATGCCTTACAGATCTAAAGTACTATCGTGTCATCACATAAGATCCTATTTCAGTTCTTTCAATCTCAATGATCATTTTAATATTGTGAGAAGACAGATCCTCATAGGATTTGATGCCTTTAACACTACAGTCATTGTTCTCTTCACTTGCCACTCTCATCAGATCCCCTGCGCCTTACTCATGAATGCCTTTGTCATTCTCTGCACATGAACACCAGGGAAAGTGAAGTGTGATTTCAGCTCCAACATGAAGACAGGTACTTGACCAAGATTGCACCTGATTGCCTTTCTCATCCACTAAGCTCATTTATTTGGAGAAGGGAGATGTCTAAGAAAATCTCTGTGAATGTTAATTTGGAAAAAAATAAATCTGAATGGCATGAAGTCAACAGGAATATGTTTTATTCATAACAAATATGTATATATAGAAGATTTAAGAAGATCTACAACTTACTGAATTGAGATAAACTTGATACCAAAGACTCTAACAGATTTGTTACTAAAAATAAGATTCGCAATGTATTGAGGTACAAAATCAAAGTGTTTGGCTGCATGAACTAACTCAACCCATTGCTTTAGCCTCATAGTTCAGGGTCATATACAATATACAATTTTAATTTTCCATTAAGCCTTGAGTTAGATATTATAGCACAGATGTAAACAATATGACATAGATGTTCATAACTCATCTATTGTCACTTAGGTAAGAATCCTAAAATAAGTTCACTGAAATTTCATTACAATGCCCTCTAAGCTAAAACTACAGAATAATATTCATTACAGGAGAGACAGCATTACAGAGATTGGATTAACACTAGAAATGCTTCTGGAAGAAAGCACGCATATTCAAAATACTGTAAAAAAATCATAAACACTCCAAGGAGAATTATGCTTTTCAAAACTGGAAAGTAAGAAGTTTTGTAATTTGACTTTATTAAAGATAAAGAACATACTGGAATGTCAAGCCAGTATTAATTTGATGTGAAAAAGTATTTTTTCCTTTTTCATTCGCACCAATATGCCAGAATGGGATCATTTGATAGAACATACCTATTAGGTATTTCTACTTTGGTAAGATTATGTTTGTCATTGTATGACATTGGAGAAATAAAACTGTTTAGAGGTCATGATGGTCTAAATAGTCAGAAAATAGTTTCTTCTCAGACATTTGTTATTTTAGATAATCCCTCACCTCTTTTATTGTGCGTTAGTGCAGCTTATAGAACATCCACAGTAATATGCACTCTCTGAATAGAAGTAATCTCCTTGCCTTATGAATATCCTGAAGCCAGATATATAATTCAGCCATTCAAAAGTTGTATACTTCCTTTTATTAATAATTCTCTGCTATCACCAAATATGATAATAATGGTCTCTCATACATGACACTTTTGACATGTTCATAAAGTGTCCATTTCTCACTGAAAGAAATATCTGCTTTCCACATTAATGAAAAATATTTATGTATCCCCAAACACTGTATCTCATAAAATGGAAAGTGGTTTCATTTCCCATTTATATTAAGCGCAATCTTCCACATGTCTTGCTAGTTCACTGTGTCTCATTTTCTCTGTGAATAGTTCATCAAATACTCTCTTCTGCTTTGAAGTAAAGTAGTTTATCCAATCACCCACCACTCCTGGAAAACGGGAAACATATCAGATAAGAACCAATTTAAATGTATAGTATTCACAAAAGAAATCCGTTTGGTTTATAACAAAATGTGAACAATTTCATCTCTTGGTGATAAGATGATGGGAGATTATTCTTTTCTTCATTTGCTCATCTGTTGTTTCTAATTTCTTCAGTAATAGTAGCATATTAATTTGTGCAGTTTAAAAGTTATTTCTTAAAAAGAAAGGGAGGTTAAAAATATATAAATGTCCTAGGTTTTACAGTGGCAGGCAAAGCAGTATCTCACCTAAACTTAATAAAAACATAAAGCAGACAAGTGAACATAATGATGCTGCATTCACTTCCCTGCCCGTGCACCTCCGCAGCGGTAGGTGTGCTGTTTACATACCACAGGGGTGGGTAATTGGTCTCATTTCAAGGAAATTTATTTTACAATATTGATAACAGAGAGTTGAAAATATAAACACCAAGTTACTTGTATGACATTCTCACTTTCAACATAAGCTGTTTGGAAGAAGTAAAATGGAACTCTTCTGTTTTGAAAAAAAGGAAAGAGGGACGATCCCAGACTCAGGAAATGATAATTGCTTCTAAAGCACACCGATTGGGGCACACGGTCAACATCGTGAGGTCAGAGTGCCTGGCCCTTAGAAGAGCAATACTAATGTTATTAGCATTACATATCAATATTCTTTGGTCCTTTCTGGTTCTCCCTTCCGGTTTCTATATCAATTCACCTTAACCACTACTTTCTTCTTTCATTTCACCTGACTTTGATTTGCTTGTTAGTTTCTGATTTGCTCTTTCACTCTATCGGTTCCTTTTTTAAGAAAAAAAAATTTTAATAATATAGTAGGTATATATGTTGGCTATGGGAAACACGCATAAGCAAAAGAAGATAAAAATCAAGGAAACATACTCAGCTAACAAGGCTAACAAATTGGCTGGCATGCATTCTTCCAGATGTTCTTTGCAAATATATGTATGCATATAAGCTACATTTAAGTCACACAATTAGAACCTACTTTTTTTCTCTCATTATACTTTGATCATCTTCCCATGTTAGTATTTATATACCTACAATGAAACTCAAGGCTCAGAAGAGGAAGACTGTTTGGATTCAAATCTTGACTCTACCAGCTACCAGTTGTGTGACTTTGGACAAGTTATTCAGGTGCTTGGTGTCTCAGTAAAATGTGGATAACATGAATACCATCCTCAAAGTCCATTGTCAAGTTTAAGATACATCAAGTAATGTGCCTGGCACATAGTAGACATTCAGCAAATGCTAGCTATTCTTACTTGATACTTTTCATGACTCCATAGTAAACCCCTGTATGGATGTGACTTAATATTTTACCAGTTTCTGAGTAGTGGCCATTTACATACACTCGAGGTTTTCGTTGTTATAAGCAATATTGCAACACGCATCCTGTTCATACATCTTTCCATACTCCTGTAACTTTCTCTTTAAATTTTAATGCGTATGGGCCCTTGAACTTCTGACACTTATATGGGCTACTCTATATCCTCCCTTGTCACCTTATCGCTGTAGCCATTATAGTCATTTTCTAGAGTATCAGCTCTATTTCTGACTTTAAAGACAACTGCAGGTACAAATTCTCCTCTGTAAAGTGAGGAATATCTTTGTGTGCCAAGGAGTCTGAATCAACGACCTCAGCAGTTTATTTGAAATGATTATTTCAGAAGATGGATGCCCTACTCCCACCCCAAAGGAATGAAGTGAATGGGCTCTACCCACCCATCCTTGTGTTTAATTTCTCATGGCATCCACATTTACTAATAGGCGCTCATGATGACTAGTATCAGTGAAGATGTTTCCACCACTAACCTTCTGTGCTTTGTTAGATCTGGTAGAAGGAAACCACATACTAGATAGAATTTAAACGTATTGTGTTGATATGATTTCACCTGGGGATAGTTGCTAGGGTCACTAACATGGCAGGTCAGAGATTAACGCTATTCTCGTTCGAGTAAAATTTCTCAAGTTTGTCCGATAAGATGTGTCAATACTGACTATTTTGCTTATCAGATCTCAAAGGGCAGTGATAAAAGATGTCAGCAGTGGCACTGGACTCTACTAAGCCTCAGAACTTCCTCATTTCTCACCATCGCCTTTACCGAGGCCACTCCCGGTCTCTTTCTGTTCCTCTCCTGTTGTTTACTTATTTCACCTTCCTTCATGCATCCTTTTCTAAATTCTGTCTTCCCTTTATCTTCTCTCCCTGACCCCTTCTAACCTTTTTCTGAACCCTGCCTCTCTCTTAAGCTCCCATATCATCTTGTTCCTGTTCTACTTTACTCAAACTTCTTAGAAGAGTGGTCTTTAGCTGCTGCTCCCCTTCTTTATCTCTCATCTCTCCGAACCCCTCAGTCTGGCTTCCATCCCCGCCACTATGGACACTGTATTCTCAGAATCCATGAATGTTTAATCCTGGCTTTCTTCCTAATTCTGGCTGATCTCTCTTCTTGGTTTGTCTTGGGCATTTCGTTCCCACTGATTTTAGAGTCCCTAGGACTCCCTCTGCTATCCCTTTCTCCACTAGCCCTTCCCACTCACCCTGAACAATTTCACCTAATTCCACAGTCTGCTGATTGCTCCTAAACTGACTTCTCAGCTGAGCTCCACCCAATAGCGGCTCACTGCCACTGCCTGAATTATGACCCTCAGTGTTTCTTACCTGGATATTACAACCTCTTAACTCGGCTTTCAGCCTCTGCTTTCGCCCTCTTCTAATCAATTTTTCACTCTGAGTCTATTATTTTCTAGCACACAGGTTTGACCATGTAAGGGCCCTTCTTAGAACAGCAAACAAACCAGAACAAAAAAGAAAAGAGCTCCTCAGGATGTCCATCAAAGCTTTTGCTCTCTGGCCCCAATCTTTATCTCCCTCACTCGGCTTCATGCATCACACTTTAGCACATGAGACTACTGCTCTTTCTAGAAAATGCCATCCAGTTCCATGGTGGTTCAGGGCTTTTCTTCTGGCTCTTAGCTCTTACTGAAATGTATTTTTTTCCCTCTCATTTTTTCCTGGTAAAATCCTGCTCATGCTTCCTGTCACAGATCTAGCGTGATCTCCCCACTTACTTTGCTAGGAAAAAATCCCCTCTCCCTTATCCATGTCGCCATTCACATTTGTTCATATGACTAACAGAGTTGTTATCACCTTGTATTGCTGTGTAGATTATGATCTTTTGAAGGACAGGATTTTATTTTATTCAATTTTTGAATCTTAGTTCTTAGAAAATGGCTTATTAATAAATATTTGCTGAGCTGAATTCTCTCCTCCCTCCCAGTGCTGGTTTTGCAACTATAACAAAGTAAAACTGAACCACCAAAAATGACAAAAGTAATTTGCAAAGTTAAGATAATATCTGATCTACCTGAGTTGGCAAATACTTGCTTCGGGAGGAATTACATTCAATTGAGCCAAAGAATGAAATAAATGTGGGTTTTCTAGTAAGAAAACTGAGTGCACAAATGCAGAAAATTTTGTCTTTGTAAGTTATGAAAAATTTGAAGACATTTTACTCCCAATCTGGATTAAAATTCACATAGATTTCAGAACAATTCTATATTCAGATGTACCCAATCTGCTTCTAAGTTAAATGTTAGGAATTAGTGGGGAAGAATTATTTCCTTCTCTTTGTGTTTCCACTCAGAGGAAGTCCTTAGATAACAATCCCAGCTTCTCTCTTCACCCCTTACTCATTTCTGCAGCATGAGTTATATGATTGATGAGTTTGGGAAAATGCACTGTCCACACTCACCAGCTCTTTTCTCTCTCCTGAAGAAAACGTGTCCAGTACCACTTTCCACCATGCTCTAAGTGGCCTGCTCCCGGGTGGGGACAGCACTGCATTTGCTTGGCTTGGGCTAAGCGGACATGTTTATGTAATTCAGGGTAAGCTATTAACAAATGTACTAGGCTGCAGACCTGAGGCACATTCTTCAAATAGCTTTATCATTTCCATCTGTTTGACACCTGTGTCTTTCCCTCAATCAGTTTCTAACTTGTCATGGAAATCTCAATGTCTGGAAAGAATTCAATTCAAGAATTTTATTTGATAGACATTCACTGAAGGATGACAATGTATAATTCATTGGGCAAGATATGGGGTGAACGATGGTGAAATGAGAGATTAAAAATGGTAAAATGGAACTACTTCCAAATATAAGCCACAGACAAAGCGCCACACCTCTTCCTGACTTACCTTTCCTAAATACCAGGTTCCGATCAGACGTGAGGGCACAGATGGTGTGATCTGGATCCCGGTTTTCTTTGGTTGCATTATTTTTCATTTCACTGAATGATGTTTTCCATGCAATCTTATTAATTTCACCATCACTCACATTTATACCGAGGAAAGTAGTTATTTTCTTTATGCTTTTAGAAATATCCTGAGCAATAAGCAAATAAATAAAAAAGGTGTAACTCATCACAATGCCAAATTCATTCCCCAAAACCTGAAAACAGAATTCATTGATTGATATCCTGTTTTAACTTAATTTGTCTTCAATTTTGATGTTGAAATGTTAGGAAGGACTTACTTTCTTCATTTCTTCATAGAATATAATTAGAATGTTTTTATCATTTTTGTGCTCTTCCAAACTTAAAACGTGATCAAACCAGGATCCATATACAACTAGAAGAAAAGCGAATTGTTGTATTAACATTAAATACGATGGCTTGCATCCCTGGGTTCTTCCCACTTCAGCGAAATAATCAAAGTAAGGCACACACATGTTAGAGCCTGAATGAAAGAGTTTTCCTTAGAAGAGTTCAATTTCACTATTATTTCAGCCAAATACAATATTGTGAAATGAAGCTGGATGGCTATATTTTTTAATAAGGCTGTGGGGCTTTTTCTTTTCTAGTAAATATTTTTTATCATCCAGAGAAGTGACAGGACAAATAAAGATACACATTTTCCGATAATTATGTTCTGATAACTACTTTGGATCTTGGGAGAAATAGAGAAACATGGAGCATTTATCATTTTTTTTCCTGTAAAGTGAGATGCTTTTCATAATTATAAGTTCTTAGTGTAAAGAGTTTATAAACTTCCTCCAAAAAAAAAAAAAAAGGAATTCTTTTTACTTAACTTAGTACAAGGCTGAAAAATACAGTCTTAGGGATGTATCAGTAGTTGATATTATCTCTTCATTGTTTTGTTAAATTGACAGCCGTAAAAATAATCTACAGGGCTTTAAAGTAAAATATTATCATGCAAAATAACCTCTGTGGCAGTGATGATTAAAAAGGGAAAAACTTCTTACAGAAAGTTGACTAGCTTGACAGTCTAAAGCATAAAACATAGTAATTTAAAATACTATACATATACATCTTTCCATGCATCCTCATCATCCAAAGATTTAATACTAGCTAATGCTCCAATCATAAAAGAACTCGTCTACTGTTACCGCACAAAACTGGGGCTCTCTACCCACTGCACATGAAGAAGCCAATTAATTATGGCATCAGCCTTTGGGAAAAGAGATCAGCTTTATTCTGCGAGATCAATCTGCATGGAGAACAGGGGGCGTGTGCCCTCAGATTTGTCTCCCCGATTCAGGATTTGGGGTGAATTTTAAGAGGTTAGGGAGAACAGGCTGGCACGCAGAAACGTGGGCATGACAGGTTTTGATTGGTAGGCTTCAAGCATTTATGGTAAGGTTTTAAACATTTATGACAGGGTTCTATACAGGTATGATGAGGTTCTAAACTTCCACAATAGGGTTCTAAACATTTTTGATGTTGTGGGGAAGGAATTTTAACAGCGGATCTTTCCGAACGAGGGACTCCTCGCTTCTGATAAGAGTTTGACTTTCAAATTCCAGTCGTATCACAGTCCTTGGGTTCCGTGGGAAGAAGGATCTTTGGTTCCATGATTATTTCAGGTCAAGAATTCTTCTTTTGCGCATGCCCTGGCTACATGACTTTGCAGATTTTCTGAAAGGTAACTTAATCACTCTGTTGATAAGAGATGGGATCAGTTGAACTGGTCCTGGAGGGCCCGCGGGTACACTACTAGCAATTTCCTGAAGATCTGCTGACTATAGATTCATTTAATAAACATTTATTAAGCCATTAGTATCTGCCAGACGTTTTGCTATAGATTTCGAACATTAGGCTTAGAATAAACGGAAGGGTAATTAACTACAAACTAACTGCAATTTGTCACGACTTCAGCTCTTGAAGAAGCAAAGGGCAAGAAAATAACCATAATGTATTTTTAAAACAAGAATTTCTGGGAACACCGTAGTATCATTACAGAGTCCACCTAATTTTCTACCCCATGGACTCAGAGGGCTACATACATAATAAGAATTGGTGCTTAGAAGAGCTGCCCTGATAGTTTTCAGTTAACAGCAATCTCCCTGCTATTTCAGTCACTTACATAATACTTCACCTTATAATTACCCAATTACCATATCAGTGATAAGAAGTTTAGCTCCTAAGAATGGTCCACCTTTTCTCAGGCACAAACACCTGGTGGGAGGCTGATTAATTTCCTCTCATGCAAATTTAGGACGTTAATTGGTCTCTAGGACCCCAGACTATGCTCACAGTCTCAATTCCCTTCACCGCCTCCCCCCAGCAGCCACAGCCCTCACGTATAACGTCATGGCCCAGAGTTGCTGACGCTGTCGAAGTCCTCAGTACTGTCAGGAGAGCCTGTGTTTCTGTGGCCAAGAGGCTGGGCAGAGATAGAGACCCAGTGTCATACCTGGTGGTTAGGTGTAACTGACTTTGCCCTTTATGGTTTTTCAGTAGGAAGTGTATTGCAACACACCCAAAACAGATTTAAAACTAGACTTTTGGATCACAGCCAGATCGTAATTGAGAGTCAGCCGTTCTATTATAGACTAATTAATTTATACTCCACCTTGTTCCAGAAGGATGTAAGCCAGTCAAAAGAATCTCAAGAAATCAGCTGCCTATGCCTTCCTTACTAATATAAGAAATTACAGTTTGGGCTATTTTTTTTTTTCTTTTGAGGAAGATTAGCCCTGAGCTAACTGCTGCCAATCCCCCTCTTTTTGCTGAGGAAGACTGGCCCTGAGCTAACATCCATGCCCATCTTCCTCTACTTTATATGTGGGACATCTACCACAGCATGGCTTGACAAGCAGTGCCATGTCTGCACCCGGGATCTGAACCAGCGAACCCTGGGCCTACGAAGCAGAACATGTGAACTTAACTGCTGCGCCACCAGGCTGGCCCATGGTTAATTTTTTTAACTCAGAATCCTTATTGTGTTGATTAGACCTACAGCTTTAAAGAAAAAATATGTTCCAAAACAGAGATTTGAAATCTTCCTTTTATGGGAGATGCTTTTCTCCACATCCTTCACTTAATTACAGAATTATTCCATGACCTCCTGTCCTTAACATATGCCTGGATGGCCCTCCTTCTGCTATCCAAAATCTCTTGTGCCCCTGAAATGCCCCTGAATAGAAGTTGCTCGTTCTCAACCAAGCCGTGCATCTTGGGATCTAGAGTGAGCCAGCAATTTCACTGCTTCCTTTCAACTTTCAGAACACCTATAAAATCTATAGCTCCTATAAAATCTAGGCTCCTTTAAGACTCACATCTTTTGAATACACCGCTCTTTCCATTCTTGTCTCAGTCAGAAATTGACCTACGATCCGATCTCTCCCCTACAACCAGTAACGACTGATTTTAATGACAATTTTCCATGTCATCGCAGGTCTTGCCGCCAACTGGCGTGACTTTAATAGACAGCTTCTAGAACACCCTACTCTGACCATTTTTGTCCCTCTCTATCTTCACTATCTTCCCCTTGTTCATCCCCTCAACTTTTTTTTTTTGCCAATATTTTGAACTTCCTTGCCCTCTTATTGTTTATTTCAATCACCTGAAAAACACCCAAAATTGAATCAAACTACTTCATCTTCTTTTCTTCTTACTCATGGCTGCTGAGTTCTGCTGAAGAAATTTATACAACTCTGTATTTACACCACTGCAAATTCAATTTTTCCAGCCTTAAGTGTCCCTTGGCTGCCTGGCAGACCTATTTGTCCTGCATTAACACATTCTCCTATTCCTCACATCAGCTATTTCAAAGCTCCCACACTTTCTGCAAACCCTCTGCCCCACTCTGTTTTTTTTTTTTTTAAAGATTGGCACCTGAGCTAACAACTGTTGCCAATCTTCTTTTTTTGTTTTCTGCTTTTTCTTCCCAAATCCCCCCCAGTACATAGTTGTATATTTTAGTTGTGGGTCCTTCTAGTTGTGGTATGTGGGACACCACCTCAACATGGACTAAAAAGAGGTGCCATGTCCGTGCCCAGGATCTGAATCTGCAAAACCCTGGGCCGCTGAAGCAGAGCGCACGAACTTAACCACTCAGCCATGGGGCCGGCCCCTGCCTCACTCTTATATCCAGTTATAATCAGCATCTTAGTTTCTAGTTTCTAGAAAGCACTCTCATGATAGATAATTGTGCAGGAAACAAACTCACTGGGATGAAATGGCCTGGGAAATATAGAGTCCTAATATAAAAGTGGAGAGAGAGCTATAGGAAAAAAAAACTAAAATGTTAAGATGTTATTTCATTGAGATATTAATCTGTCAGGCTGTTGCCAGAACACAATTTATGGTTATTGTTTAATTTGAAAACCTGAAGTGTATTTGTAAACTATCTGAAAGATAAATTAGAAGATTAGATAAACGTGTAGCTACCTGTAGCTTTACTGTACTATATTGTCATATAATGTGCATTAATGTTTATGATTTGCCAATGGGTACAGGATATCATGATCCCTCATCATAAAATAATCTTCCTAGGTAAACATCTACTTGTAACATTTCCACCCTAATGTGAAACTGTCTGAGTCTTCATCTGTGTCTTTAAAAGTCTATGTCTAATAAATGAGTATATTTCTATAGCAAATCTTAGTTTTTACTTAATTTGAGCCTCTAAATAATCCCACAAAAGAGGAGAGTTTTATTAGTCCTGTTTTATATTAGGAGTCTGGATATCAGAATGGTTAAGCTTCTTATCCGGAGTCACACAGGGAACAAATTATAGTCAGGATTTGATCCCAGTTCTGCCGTCTCCATAGCCTGTTCTTTCTACTATATCATGTTGTCATGTACTAGAGAAATAACCTTCCCCTCAAAAAGCCACTGAAGAACATGCCTGAAACACAGTCACATGCATACAATGCCGTTCACGCACACACAGAGGGAAACAAACAATCCTAGCTGATAGAGTCAAAAGTGAAACCACCGCTCCCATCCGAGTAAATTTAAAAACAGCTTCAGTGACTCAGTGACTATTCTTGGTCAACAGGGCGTGCCCAGGCTGGATTACCTGAGAGTAGAATACTTACAAGTCAAATTCCTTTACAATTAAAAATCTAGTAACTCGCCTAACAAGGTGTAAAAGAAACATCTGGAATATTTTTTCTAACTACACTCTGCCCTTCCCAGATATTCTGCTAGACTCCTGACAAGGTCGGTAGCTACTCTGTGACATCTAGTCTGCCTCCTTGCATATGGCCCGGGCTGGTCTTTTTGTGTCTGCATTCATAGAAAAACAATCTCTAGAACAGGACCAGTACCAGGCCTGCTATACCCTGCCCTTGCCAGACCATCCCCAGAGGCTGCTCTGCCTTCTGCAAAATCATAAAAAGGGGGCCAAGTTAGAGCTCACACAGCGGTGAGACAGGGGTGATGAGCCCCAGAGGGTAATAATTGAGGACGAACGCCACTTGTCTTTTCTTGAGGAAAAGCAGACTCGAGATCTGTTTTAAAAAAATAATTTATGTATTTAAACTCTGCTTATTCCAAAAATGGAACTGAGGCAGAGTGAGGCATGCTAATTATCTTCAAATATTTAGAAGGCTATCATGTGGAAGAGGAATTCATGATGAAGGGGACGGGACGGTCTTTTCGCCGGATGAGTTACGGCCCAGCGGTAAGAGCAAAGGTTTTGGAGCTGACACCTCAGTTTAAATCTTGCCTCTGCTCCTTATTAGTTACACATCTGTGAACAAGTTATTTGGTTCCCCAAGGTCTACATTTTCCTCAGCTGTAAAACAAGGATAATAACATGTACCTCGTGCGTTCTAGCAAGGATGAAATGAGATACATCTGCAAAGCACTTAGCTGAGTGTCTGTGTCACATGGTGTGACTTTTTTTTAACATCTCAGGAGCACCAAGACGGGATGTGTTGCTTTGGGGCAGGAGCAAAGAGTGTGAACCTATTGTGAAGGTTAAGAAGTTCAAGTTTAGCCTCTGCAATTGTTGGGGATGTTGTAAAGGGGATTTAACATTAGGTGGGCGTTTTCACCACATGATCTTTAATGTACCTGTCATTCCTGAAACTTTATCATTCTACTAAATGTGTGCCATTACATAAGGAGGAAAATAGAAAAAGGAGTTGAAATGTGTGAGCAGAGCATATTCTCCCATAGGGAATACAGCAAAACAAAGTACTAAACCCTGTTGCTGGTGAGTTCCCAATGTCCTCACATTAAGGTTATGCTTGCAGTGGCCTCTCTTAAATTAACAAGTAAGAGCTTAACAATTTGCAAGTAAAACAGTGAAACTAACAATTAAGAAGATCTGCTCAAAGCCCAGAGAGATAAGATCCTCCGGGTACACACCATTTCTAGATCGTGTCCTCTAAATTCTGCATCATCTTGGTATATTATTTGTGTTTAATTAAAGGCTTGGGAATTCAGAATAATTTTTTTTTAAGTGCTCCAGACAGCACTGAGTCAGGGAAAAATGAATAAGTTCAAAGGTCGTGCATGGTGGCAGGACCAACACGTGATGCGCAGCTCAATCAAATGACATATTGTGTTGTTTTCAGGATCAATTACTTTCTGTTAGTTTTTATAAAACTAAGTGTCAAGATGGCTAAAGCTTTCATATTTGTTTTATTTGGGGAATTTTGTTTTTGTATGTGTGTAGTGTTTGTGTTGTGTTATTTTCCATGCAGGTCTATACAACGCATGTTTCAGGCAACCTGTCTAGGTTTGCACTTGTATCTTGCTGTACTCCATCAGTGCATCATTATTTCACCAAAGAGACGGATAGTATACGGAAAAAAGAGGTGCTTGATCAGGATTAATCTGTTTGAAAACATTAAAACCAGCTCAACAAGTAACTGCTAATGTGTACTATCCAGAGGTGGTAAGACAGACTATGAAGAAGCAAAGTGAGAAAGAATTGCTTAGAAGAAGTAAAAGAACAATCTATTCAGATATATTTCTGAAAGTAGGCAGTTAGGATCCATTTAAATTTTTGGAAAGTGCTTTCATTTTAAGCGGAAAAGTTCATCATACGTTATGAATAAAAACCATCGTTATATTTACCGTCTCCTCTCAGGAACAGCTCTAAAAATGCAGCCCAGGTTTCGATGCCGGGAAGGTTAGGGTTCTCTCTGTAGTAGTGAAATAGAGAAACAGCTGTGTCTTTCGGATTCCTAATGATGTAGATAATCTGTTTAAGAAAAAAAAATCAGTTAGTTTTTGTATGGAAATAGCCTCAATACAAAACCTTTCCTGAAAGAAAGTAGCAGCCAAACCTACCTGTGCAAGTCACGATTTTTTGGCAGCTTCAGCTGATTATTAAACACAGACTTAGGCCAGTGTTTCCCAAAACTTAATGTGCATAAGACTCATCAAGGGATTTTGTTGAAATGCAGATCCTGATTCAGGAAGCTCTGGGATGAGGCCTGGCATCCTGCATTGCTAACAAGCTCCCAGGCCATGCTCATGATACTGCCCCAACTGTGGCGCCAACAGCTCCCCACTGTCTGTTGTAACCCAGCAGAGTCATACGCTGGAAATGGGAACAGGGTCGTTGTTATGTTATTTTCCATGCAAGTCTATAAAAGGTATGTGTCAGGCAACATGTCTGGCTACTTCCTGCTGAAAGAGATCGGCGTGGGGGGACCATCGAATGAAATACTCACTCATTTGTTGGTGGCACAACTCGAGTAAACAGTAACCTTTACTATACATATTAAAGATTTTGTTCTTATTATCTTTAAACTAAATCAGGGTAGAGAGCGTTCCTCCGATCTCTGATGCGTATCCAGTAAAACAAAAGAACTAAGACCAGATATCTGCCCTACCCAGAGACCACTGCCTATATAACTGGCCTACAGTCTTTGTTCTGTAAAATGGTTCTTCTGGACATTAGTCAACCATCTTCCCCCTTGCTAGCACGCTGTAATAAAACCCTTTCTCTCCTACCACCTTGCCTCTAGACTATTGATGGGGGCAGACGATCCCACTTTTTCAATTTGCGTGCTAATTTTGGTCCTATGTTTTTATGGGCAGACATGAGAAATCCATATTCATTTGTAAGACAAGATTACTTTTTTAATATCCATTCATTATAAAACATGATTTACATACAGTAAGATTTTCTTACAAATTGTCTATTCCTCTTTAGAGGAAGAATGATGTTTTGGAATTTCCTTTTTCTACAATTTAATCCCCCGAAGAGTAGGGAATCTGAGATACCCTCCCAACTTACACGAACACTGCAACTTCAGTGTAATTTGATTCAATAAATATTTATTTAGTATCCACTGTATAGCAGGCAGGATGTTCCAGGTTCAAGAAATACAATGAGCAGAAAGAGAGAAATGGTTCCAGCCTACTCAAAACTTGCAGTCAGGTGAGGGAAGCAGATAGTTAAACACACGCTTGACCATGCAATGTTATAAGGATTATAATAGGGAAGTGTAGAGTGCAGTAGGAGCATAGAAGAAACCTCAGGAAACCAGTGTGAGAAGTTGTATATAAGAGGATTCTCTTCAATCATGGTCAACACTGCATAAGTACTAGATGTTCTCCTCTCTATTTAATTGACAATCAGGTGGACACATGTTACATAGGTAAGAAAGTGTTTACTGAGGTATTTTTGTGTGTGTGTGTATGAGGAAGGTTGGCTCTGAGCTAACACCTGTTGCCAATCTTCCTCTTTTTGCTGGAGGAAGATTGTCCCTGAGCTAAAATATGTGACAATCTTCCTCTGTTTTGTATGTGGGATGCCACCACAGCATGGCTTGATGGGTAGTGTGTAGGTCCATGCCAGGGATTGAATCTGTGAACCCCAGGCCTCCAAGCAGAGCACATGAACTTAACCAGTACGCCATCAGGCCAGCCCTCACTGAGTCATTTTTAATACATAACTATCTTTCCATTTCGTGTTCATAGTCCAGATATTGTGTGTGATCCTCACGCACAACACCTGCTCCTCTTGAGAGATGCGTAAAGGCCACTGTGTAGGGAAATAAAGAGCCACCTTTACCCCTTCTCCCCATTATCTTCTTTTCATTCCAAGAGATAATTACAGAGTAATCAAACCCCTCAGCCTTTCTCTAACAGCTCTCGGCTTCTTGAGCAGATTCATAGAACCCCAAGGTGCAAAGAGCACAGTTAAAAATCCACTGCCTTAACAAAAATGGATAAAATGGCAGAATTTTAAGCCTTAGCCATCCAGGTGGAGACTTTGTTTTTCTTTTTTGGTAGAGAACAGTATTTTAGGGCCTTTGGAGAACCCCCCAAATTACATGTCCTTATTATCTAGTGAGAAAGACAACGCAAACCATTAATACATATTTTGCCAAAAGAGGTGAAAAGAATGTGTTCTGTAACTATGTATGGTGATGGAGGTTAAGTACATTTATTGTGGTGATCATTTTGCAATATATGCAAATATCGAATCATTATGTTATGTATCTGAAACTAATGTAATGTTATGCGTCAGTTATACTCAATAAAAAATACAAAAAAACAATGTATTCTAAGAAATCATAAAAAATACTAGGGCGAAGTTGAGGGACATGAGGGGAACACAGAATAATACTCTGGAAAATATTTAAATATTAACTAAATATCGTGAAATGCGCTGAAAACATAAATTCCACAAAAGAGAGTTTGGAAACAAAAAAGGAGAGAGAAAGATTAGGAAGAAAGTATTGGCGGCCAAGTAGGGTTGAGAGCTGGTAGGGAAAGACTGGAGGAGGAACTTACGGTGTAACAGGCCCTGGAGGGCAGGGAAGGCTTGCCCAGCCCCTAAGCTCTCAGGGTTGGGCCATCAGCAACAGAGGCCAGGACATCCTCTTGGGAGACCGAGGGCAACCAGAGTCCCAGTTTCCATCAGGGTTGTACCCTAAGGCTGTCCCTTTAGTGTGGTGGTTTTAAGAAGCACCCTAACATTTCTGAGCTTCAGTTTCCTTGCTTATGAAAGGAAAAATACCTTCCCTTATCATTGTTGTAATGTGTTTATAAAACACAGCTTAATCTCTGGTAGCCATTTGTTATCAATGTGATTGCATTGCCCTAAGGGTTATTGACCTTATCAGAGTCCTTTTCTCCCATCTCTGCGTCTTAGAGACAGCCTGTTTGAAATGAAAATACTCAGTTGAGTGAAAGTGTAACCTGGTTAGCACACTTTCACCTGTTCTGATAGATTTGCTGGAGATAAAGGCAACATTCTATGACATTTACCTCTGGTTGATTATGTTTCCTTTTATTGGAGCCCAAGAGCAGATGGTGTGTGTGGAGACTTGTGCTCATAGAGTTACGCTCACAGCAAGATCTGCTTTGATTTATGCCCATTTGACTGGTAGATTGTTTTTGTTTTTATTTTTAGAATATGGCTGACATTGTTTAAGGATGCTTCATTACTGGGAACTTATTACAGTGGACACATATATCTTGCCTTTGCTTTTCAAATATTATTCTTTTTTCTCTGATCAAAACTATATTAAAATGCTCATCATACAGACACCTGTAAAGAAAATATAATCCTACCCTAATGTCAAACCTAAGAAAGCCACTCAGCACATTGATCTATTTACATTTAGTCTCTTTTTATGATTATATATATATATTTTAACTGAATTGAGATTATTCAGTATATATGAATTTAAGACATGCTTTCTACTTAGCCTTGTTCTATAAGCATTTCTCCATGAAAATATAAATTTGAATAAGAAAGATATGAAAATAGAAAATATTCTTTTAAATTACAATTAACTTTTAAATAATGCTAATAACGTGTGCACTTTTAAAATAGCTTGAGGAGACTGTTCCTTAGTGTTTTATATACAGTTTATTTTTTGTTCTTTTCCTATATAGTCTCTGGCAAAAATGATAGATAAAATAATTAAAATAATATCAAGGCAATTTTTCCTTTCCTTGGACATCAATATTTAAATAAAAAGACTAAAACCAGATTCAGAATAGAATAAGCCATTGTCTAGTGTAATGAAGGTTGACATGCCAACATAATATTTACTGGTAACCCCTATACATTCATTATCTTATTTAATCTTTGCCACACTGTGTGAGATGGATACTATTATTCCTGTTTCAAATGAGGACACCAAGGCTCAGAGAGCTTCAGCAATTTTCCAAAGTCACACAGTATGAAAGTGGCAGAACAAGAAGCCAATCCTGGTTTTGTGGGGCACCTGAGCCTCTGCCCTTAAGCTTTGAACTTACCTTGCATTGTTTTTGTATAATATCAGTTGGTAGCATGTTGTAGCTCAAATGTGTTGGAATAACTCTTCTCTTACAGTACATTTTCAGCTCTTCAAATTTAGACATGTCTCCCAATTCGATAGGAGATGTTAGAGTAATCCTAGCATTCGGAATGTTCTCGATGACTTCTGCAATCCAGTGAGTACCTTCACACAAAAATAAAATGAAATACATCTTTTTTATTTTGTTTTTAAGACTGGCACCTGAGCTAACCACTGTTGCCAATCTTTTCTTTTTTCTGCTTTTTCTCCCCAAATCCCCCGAGTACATAGCTGTATATTTTAGTTGTGGGTCCTTCTAGTTGTGGCATGTGGGACGCCTCCTCAACGTGGCCTGATGAGCGGTGCCGTGTCCGTGTGCAGGATCCGAACCAGTGAAACCCTGGGCCAATGAAGCAGAGCACACGAACTTAACCACTTGACCACGGGGCCAGCTCCAATGAAATGCATCTTTTAACTAAATGACATTCTTGATGAATATAGAAAATTAGCGTGAGGTTATAAAAGTAATGAATGCATTAATTTGATTATGAATAGTGATTACTACCTCTTGACACCCATTGAAACCTGTTGAAACACTTGAAATGTTTATTCATTTTACAGGAAGAATCATTTTAAAGAGCAGAGTGAAGAGATCAGAGAACTGTATGTGCTGTTTCCTCAGCTTGAAGTGCTCTTCTATGCTACCACTCACTTCTAGTACCTTCTCCACACACAATTCTTAATGGTCCTGCAAGTTCATGCATCTTCCTCTTTTATAAACTGTCTTCTAAATCCTCACTCCCCTCGCATGATCGCTCACCCTTTCTGTCCCTCCGAAGTAGCACACACCAGGGTATGGTTACCATTGCTTGTATTCGTGTCTATCTCCCCATTTCTCCCTTGAAGAAGATCTTGTTTTTGTTCGTGTGCAAGGACATAGTAGTCGTGGAAACAAAGCATTTGAACAATGAACAAAGGCTATATTCAAACATTGTAGAGACGCAAACCTGCAACCATGACGTCTGGAAGGAATACCACTTTATGTTTCCGGAAAGCAAATGTAAGTGTGCTCCAGTGTTGTAGACAATAGTAAACTGGAGCTGAAAAGTAGAAGTTTGGGTGGGGAGGATGTTTTGCAAATTTGAAAGCAGTCCCTAAAGAGTTTAAATCAGGCCTAGTTTCCATTTATCTCATTGTAATTCCAATGAGATACAATATTAACAAACGTACAGTTGAATAAATATTTAGAGTTTAAACAGTGCTCTCCTTGGCAGCATATGTTTTAAATTTAAGACTATTTTAGATTATAATGTTAATGCATCTTAAATATTTATAATCATAATATTCATATAAACATGACTCAGAGTAGTGTTATTTGTATTATTTTAACAAAATTCTTTGGTTTATTCTGATGAAGAGAGAATACATGGTTTTGTGCTGCTGAAGGGGACCTTCTGGCAGCTGATGGGAGATGTCAAGTTATGGACCCCAACACACACAGTGGTAGTCTTATATATGATTGTTAATATGTGGTATAAATTAGCCACCTGTTCTAAGAACCTTAAAAGTATCATAAATTACTTTTGAAACAAATATATCAATTTAAAGTAAGATATATTCATTCACAGAGCAACCTATTACATAGAGAAAATACTGAGGCAGTCTAGAAGCAATCACTTAATTTCCATTTGCAGCAGTAGTTTTCAATAAAAGACATGCATATATGGTTTATATTTATTCTCAAAAAGCACCCTGGGAGAACTGGCCCGATGTGAACTCTGCATTTTCCAATAGGAAAGGCTTCTTGGGCCTGACTTACAATCAGATGCGTGGACTACAGTGCACACACAACTGGAAATAGCAAAAGGCAGATGGATATTATATATCCTGGTCACCTCTCAAAACCAAAAAGAATATGTAATTAATTTTGATTATCCATAGAATGACATTATTCAAAATAACGATTCTCTCATGAGCGTATACCTATATATGGAAATAAATTTTGAATAATAAGGCATAAACTTTAACAATAAAAGTATTTATATTTCTTACTAGCCCAGAAGAAAAAAATTACTTATTAGTAAATCAATCATGAAGTATAAATTGAACAAACACTATTTATTTATTGCCATGCCTGGCACAACGTGTGAAGAGAACTTTATAATGTTATAGATATTATGCTTATTGTGTATATCAACATCTGTCTGACTTCATGAATGAAATAGAAACAAGAGTATAGTAAAGCTCTAATTTCTCCAGTTGAATTTTCTCAAAGCATATTTTTTGGCTCTCTAATGTCAAGCTTTTTCATTAAAATAAGCATTTGGGATACCTCTAATTTCTTGTGGCAAAATTCTGAAAAATAAATGTTTGGCAAAAATTATTGTTACTATTGTAGTTCTACATTTTAAAAATACATTAAAATAAACTTTACCAGATTTTGGATAGGAAACCAGAAACACATCATCTTCTCTTGCATTGAAGGAATCCAAGGAATTTAGAAGCTCTTCTGAAGACATAGCAGAAAAGAGAATCCCCTTGAATTTATGAAGAACACTGGACTGGTTCTGGGATGACATCCTGCATCAAATCAATCAAAAAGTATTTACTAAACACTAACTTTACACAAGGCACTGAGCAAGTCTGGCCGTTGATTTTAATCTTAGCTCAGGGGCCATGTAATCTTAGAATTACTGAGCTAGCTTTCCAGCTAGAGGAACGTATATATACCTTTCGCAGTTCTTCTCAAGATTAATTTTTAAACCACAACTGAGCCAAAGTCTACTGTGAAAATGATGTTATCTGAATTTTTCTGATAATACATGTTACAAAATATTTTCTCCAACTTGGCCCTCAGAATAGTTTATATACCAAGCTATCAAGCTGTCAGAACATAATCATCATATTAAGGGACTAAAGTTAATGTAATCCTTTGGTCTAAATAAGGAAAGATTTTAGTGGCTATAATGGATTATATTACCCTGGAAGTGATTAGAAAAGTTGAACTTCTTCTTGTTAATATTACACACAGCAGCAGAAGTAGGTGGTATTACATTTCAGGAAGAGGAGAGGAATGGAGTGAGAAAATGTAAATTTTTCTAGGAATTGGCAGATAATCTGTGACTAAAGATAAATCTTACAGGAAATGCTTTAAGACAGATAACTCTTGAGCTTTGAGGTACACAGGAAGTTCTTGATTGAACTGAATAAACTCTTGTCTGAGTCATTCTTAGCTTTTGTCACCAATATTGTTATTTTCTGTATTCAGTTAGATATGGCAATGACGTGCCTAGTTTCTTCAGCGAGCCACAGATGAATCTTTTTGTTTGCTTGTCTAACAGTTAACAGAAATGTACACCAACAAGGAAATGATCAGCATTTTACTTGAGCACAAAAAAGTAGAGATCTACTGTGGAAGAAATAAGTGAACAAAGAAGATACACATGATAGTGGCAGAAATGAAATTTAGAATGATCATGCACATAGGAAATCTCAAAGAATCTACAATTAGTATAAATACGTAAATTGAGCATGGTGGCTGGATTATGAGGTCAATATGTGAAAGTAAATTGCATTTCTTTATTCCAGCAGCAACCCATTGAAAAATAAAATTTTCAAAACCATACTATTTACAATAATATGAAAAAAATTAAATCCCTAGAAATAAATCTAATAAAAGATGTGAAAGGCACTGGACTACAAAGTATAACTGAGACTAGTTAAAGAAGGGCTAAGTAAATGGTGAAATATACCATGTCCCCGGACTGGACTCAATATGACTAAAATGTCAAAACTCTTCTTATTGATCTATAAAGTCAGTTCAATTTGATCAAAATCCTAACAGGCACGTGTGTGTGTGTGTGTGTGTACGTGTAAACTGACCTGCATTTAATATGGAAATGCAATGACTTCAGAAAAGCTAAGGAAATTTTAAAGAACAAAACTATAAAACTCAGATTATCAGATTTCAAGACTTACCATAAAACAGCACTAATTAAGACAGTGTGGCCTGAGCCCAATGCTACCCATATCAACCAACAGAACAGAACAAAGGTACAGAAAAAGACACACACCTAAACCATCACTTGATTCATGCCAAAGGTGCAATTTAGTGAGAAATTGGTCTTTTTAATGAATGGTGTTGGTTCAATTGGATTTATATTGGGTGAAAAATGAATCTTACATCACACCATATACAAAGAAAAATTCAGGATGAATCATAGAATTAAAATTTTAAAAAAGCTTCTAGAAGAAAACATAGGAGACCATCTTCATGATCTTTGGGAAGGCCCCAGATTTCTTAAACATGATATACGAGAGAACCAACCATTAAAGAAAAAATGTATAATTGGACTTCATTAAATTAAGAATCTCTGTTGTTTAAGTCACCATTAAGTGGGTAAAAAGGCGAACCATAGACCAGAATAAAATATTGTAATACACATATTCAACACTGTACTCATTTTCAGTCTCTAAAGAACTCCTACTAATCAATAAGAAAAAAAAATCAAGTAACTCAACAACTAAAAAACAGCAAAAGACCTGAATAAGCCTTTGAAAAAGTGTTCAACATCATTAGTTGACTAAATGCAAATTAAAATTAACATGAGAGGCTGGCCCGGTGGTGTAGTGGTTAAGTTTGTGTGCTCTGCGTTGGCAGCCCAGGGTTTGCAAGTTTGGATTCCGGGCATGGACCTACACACTAGTTATCAAGCCATGCTGTGGTGGCATGCCATATACAAAGGAGAGGAAGACTGGCACAGATGTTAGCTCAGCAACAATCTTCCCCACAAAAAAATAAAAATAAAATTAACATGACAGGGGAGATCCACTTCCAGAATGTCAGCATGAGGAGCTCTGTGGGCCCACTGATGAAACCACCATGAATGGTGACAATTATTTTAAAAATAAAATAAATAAACAAACATCTAAAATCTCTAGAAACAGTCCTAAAATCAGACAGCAAATGAAGAAGCATTTATTCAAGAAAATATTTGGAAATCATGTATCTGATAAGGGATTTGTGTCCAGAATATGTAGAGAACAGTTACAACTCAATAATAAAACAATCTTATTTAAAAAAGGGAAAAGTCTACACAGTTGAGTATAACACAGGCACAGTGTTTGTAGGAGAGGTTGACAAGTCAAGGTAAAGAAATAGGCTGCATCGTGGCAGGCCTTGGTGCTGAGCAAAGGAGTCTAGACATTGTCCAGAGAACAGTGGGGGCCACCAAAGGTCTGAAGCACCAAGTGAGGAGATCAGGTTATATCCTAGAAAGTTCCATCTGATAGCAGTGTGGGGGGGGGGGGTGCAGATGAGCCAGACTGGAGGCACAAACTAAAGCAGGAGCAAATTGGGGATGAGAAAGGGGGAGCAGATTTGAGAGTGCCTTCAAGGTCGAATCTCCAGGAATTAGTGGTCAATTAGATATAAAAGATGAGGGACCCAGTGAAGCTGCAAGTCAGGGGCCAGTTTCAGTAGGCATACTTTCTGCTTATTTTCACCAGTTAAAAAATTAAATCTCAGGGCTGGCCTGGTGGTGTAGTGGTTAAGTTCAGCATGCTCCACTTCGGTGGCCCAGGTACATGGGTTCAGATCCTGGGTGTGGACCTACACCGCTCATCAAGCCATGCTGTGGTAGTGACCCACAAATAAAATAGAAGGGGATCGAACAGATATTAGCTCAGGGCCAATCTTCCTGATCAAAAATAAAATAAAATAAAATAAATTTGAACTGGACTGGGTATGGCTTGCCTTATCTTGTTTGCCACAGTCCTCACCATTCTCTACTCTCTGTGACCCAGCTGGACTTTACTTGCTTTGTTCCTGAAAATATCTAAAGTTGAGAACCTGGTGGAATGACTTCCCTAGACAGTCTTTTTTATTATGCTTGCTTATCCTGGGGGTGTGAAGAGGAGACACGAATGCGACAGGACTAAGGAATGGTGGGAGAGGGTGACCTCATTCCCTTCTCTGACACTGCCTCTGCCACCATCCCCAACCTCTAATTACGACCTCCGCCCTCATCCCCAATCTCTTGACTGACCATTATTGGATTTTCTTCAGGAAATAGAAGAAAAGGAGAAGAATCTGGACTTTTTCTCCCATAGATGCCTTGAAAGCCTCCTATTGTGACACGTGTATTAAACTCCATTTTAGATTTCTAATTCTTATTGCAGCCCTGAAGGAACGCAGGATTACTTTTACTTTACAGATGAGTAAACCGAGGCAGTTTAAGTAAACCAAGTTGCCAATATGCTTTAGAATACCACACTCAAGTTTCTCGAAAGCAGAGGATCGTAAAGCATGTCATCATCCTTCTCCTAAGCCATTTCACTTTTTTTGTAGCCCTGATTTATTTATCTGATGGATTCAGAGGTCCACATGATCTTTGTATTCCCCCTGAACAAGTAGGAAGGTAGATTTTTGCTCTCATTTTAAGAAGAATAGGAAGAAAGGAAAGGAATGGGGTGTGCTGGAAGTAGAGAGCCTGTGTTCGCCCTCCCCAGGATTCTGGGAGCAGATGAGATCACCACTGTGCGCATCAGCTGGACGCGAGAGCCGACAGAATTTGGAAACATTGATCACGTCCTAACATTCTTGAGTGCTGCTGGAGAGACTCTGTGTCCAAGGACTATGGATTAACTACATGGATATTAAATTAGCCCTGCTGGTTTCAGACTGAGCGAGGCACTTAATCAGTTGAGTGGAACAGATCATCTGCAGAGTTTTGGTAATGTTCTACAAATGAAACCCCAGGGGAAAACTATAGTGATTAGTTGTTATTAGAGCTATGCAAAGTTTTCCTTATTGTAATGACAACGAGGTACAGTTTTCAAGTGCTCCTTTTCATTTGGCGGTAGACCGGGTAGATGGATGTTGAAGAAAATCTAGATGATGGAGCAGCTGTAATCTCTCTCTGGAATGATGGGAAATATCTGAGACTGAAATTTCTTTATGGACCCAAGTTTAGATTTCAGCTTTATCTTTGTTCTTGGTTTGACTCGTATCTTGGGACCATTGCGTTTTGGAAAATGAAGGATTTGGGAACAAATTATACACAGAGGGTCAAGATTCCAATTATTTAGAGTAATCTGCAAGCCCATTTCAGTTTGTAAAGAAAGCTAATGTAGAAAGCATTTATTTAGAATTATCATGTAGCACAGCAATTTCACTCCTAACTACATACTCAAGAGAAATGAAAACATGAGTCCACACAAAAATTTGTAAACAAATGTTTACAGTAACGTTATTCACAATAGCCAAAAAGTGGAAAGGAACCAAATGTCCATCAACTAATGAATATATATATGAATATATACACATATATGCCTACATATTTATATATGTATGATGTGGTGTATCCAGATGTATTAGTTTCCTATTGATGTTGTAACACATTACCTTGAAGGCATTCTCTTTCTTCTATAAAACCTCTCTTTCTTCTCATAAATCCTTGTTACCCTTGAGTTACTCCTCAGGTTAACCAGGAAAACAGCAAATTGACAAGAGTTACTTTTCTTCTTCTTCTTCTTCTTTTTTTTTTTGGCAGGGGAAGATTTGCCCTAAGCTAATATCTGTTGCCAGTCTTCCTCCTTTTTTTTTTCTTCCTTTTCTCCCCTCTGCAAAGCCCCAGTGCATACTTGTGTATGGTTGTAAATTCTTCTGGTTCTTCTATGTGAGCCGCCACCACAGCATGGCCA